GTGGAGGTGCAGTCAGTGTTTTGACCCATAGGGATCCTTGGCAGTGGACGAATGATCATGGGATCCCCAAGGATAAAATACCTGGTGCAGTGCAGTGAGTTACTTAATATGGCCCTTCTAGCCATAGTTTTTGTGATTCCCACCCAATGCTGTGCAAATGGGGTGCTTGTGGCCCACCAAGGGGATTGGACAGCTTGCTGCTAATGCAAATAAGGTGTATGGAACCTGTGATTATTAAGATTATGTGTCAACTTGGTTGGGCCATGATTTCAGTGGTTTGGCAGTTATATAATTATGTAGTCATACTCCATTTTGTGATCTGATGTAATTATCCTCTATTTTGTGATGTGTTGTAAATTCTAGCCTCTCTGCCTGTGGTTATGGCCCCATTTGGGAGTGAGTTGTCCGTTATGTTAGTGAGGCAGGATGAGGGTGGGATGTATCTCGAGTTATCACCTTACTAGAGGGTATGACTCAAGTCACCACCCTTACTACCCTTATTCAAGTCACACCCTGGCACCGCCTTGCTCAATTAAGGGTAGTTTCCTTGAGGGTACAGTCTGTATCCAGTACCTATATATATGAATGCTCTGGCAAAGCTCTCTGTCTTGCTCTGGATCCTGCATCTGGCTTGTCATCATCATCTGACCTCTGGTTCTTGGAACTGGAGCCAGCAGCCTATTGTCTGACCTGATTCAGCCGCTTCTGCAGCCTTGTGAGCCAGCAGCCTGTTGTCTGACTTGCCGATTTGGGTTCATTAGCCCCTGCAACCATGTGAGTCAGGAGAAGCCTCCAGCCTGATGCCTGACCCACAGGTTTGGGACTTGCCAGCCCCCACAGCTGCATCAGCCATTTCCTTGATGGTTCATGAGTTCTGTGAGACATTGCAGTGAATTATGGAACCCAAAGACAGGAGGGAGAGTACTGAGGTGAGGAGAAGTAGTTGATGTTAGAGATGATGGAGTGGGATAGCTGTTTGGAAAAGTTGGACATTTTGGGATATCCTTAACCTCCACCTCATAGGAACCAGCATTTTGCTGATCCTTCTAAATGAAATGATTCATTTAATTGGTCTCAGAATGGTGGGGTTTGCTGCAACAGCCCAGACTCACTGGAATATGTGGTTTTAGAAAAAGGGGGATAAACAGGAGAATCAGAAACCTTTGGCTTCTAGATGAGATAAAAAACACCCATGGATTGAGATTAAGCAAGGGAGAATGAAGAAAACAAGCTACAAGGAAAAGATTAGTCCAAAGGACTAACAGACCACAACTACCATGGCCTCCACCAGACTGAGTCCAGTACAACTAGATGGTGCCTGGCTACCACCACTGACTGCTCTGACCGGGATCACAACAGAGGGTCTCAGACAGAGCTGGAAAAAATGTAGAACAAAATTCTAACTCACAGAAAAAGACCAGACTTACTGACCTGACAGACTGAAGAAACCCCAAGAGTATGACCCCCGGACACCCTTTTAGCCCAGTAATGAAGTCACTCCCGAGGTTCACTGTTCAGCCAAAGATTAGACAGCCCCATAAAACAAGACTAATGGGCCACAACAGTCCAGAGACTAGGACTAGAAGGCAGGAGGGCACAGGAAAGCTGGTAATAGGGAACCCAAGATTGAGAAGGGACAGTGTTGACATGTCGTGGGGTTGTTAACCATTGTCAGAGGACAATATGTGTACTAACTGTTTAATGAGAAACTATTTGTTCTGTAAACATTCATTTGTTTACAACATTCATAAGGTACAATTAAAAAAAGTTTTTAATAAAAAAAAATAAAAATCAAAAATTAAAAAAAAACACACCCGTGGATTGAAGCAGTTGTTATGTTGCAATCAGTTACCCGAGGCAAAAGCTATTCATGGGAATTAGTGGTGGATCTAGCTCCTGAGGAATTGGCTAGTTGGGTGCATTAGGAAATACAGATTGATAAGGAAAGGGCAAGACATACAATTCCTTGGTTGCTGTTATCAGTAATAGTTGCAAGGACAGGGAAAAAGAATGTTGGGGCAGATTTTAGCACTGAACCAATCCTATCTCTGGTTCAGTTGGAGCTATGACTAGTCTCAGGGCCAATCCAGGAAGGAAAAATTGTGTCAGAACAACAGGAAGTGCCCCTATGACCACTGGTCACCAAGAAGATAGTCCAGGAGGGGAATGGGCAAAACCAAGAAACTATTGAAATCAGGGTGTATAGTGTAAAGGAGTTGCTTCAGTTGGTAGATTGGTATCATCAGCTCCCTGAGGAACGGTTACTAAAATGGATCGTGAGAGTGACTAATTTAGAGGCAGTGTCTTTAGTTTTGAATGCTGCAGAAAGGAAGAGTATGTTTGGGTTGATGCAACACCCACAACTCACTATGGAACAGTCACAGATGATGATTCAAGATCCAGGTACACAGCAGGTTAACCTGGGATGACCAGCCTGGTAGACTGGATAAAATTTGCAGTGAGAACTGTTTACCCTAAGAAGGGAAACTGCCTGTCTCCCCCTCTAAATACCCAATGGAACACTCCAGAGGAAGCAGCTGATGTGCTGGTAATGCAGACCATGCTAGAATGGCTTTATGATGATCAGGATATTCATCCGATGACTATGCCCTGTACACAGGTCATAGTAGGTATGGTAATCAAGGCAGCCCTGTCTACACAGGTACCCCATCTAATCTTGCTACTGTGAAACAAAGCAACAGTCTGATGAGCCTTGTGGGATCTGTTGGCACAGCTTCCCCATATGGGTCTTACAGATGCAAGAAACATAAGGGTGATTCATAAACGACAGGATGAGACAATGGGAAAAGAACTTACCCCAGCAGGATGGAGATTTTTAAATGGTTACTAAGAAATGGGATGAATATGGCACACATTGATGGAATTGAGATAAAGATTCTAAAGAGGTTGGCTAGACCAAATGGAAACTCCTGCTGGTCCCTCAACGTTAGAGAGGCCTAGACAAGTCTGTTCTGTTCACCACAGTAGGGAGGAATTTAATGATGGGAAGTCTGTCTTGGTCATCTAGTGCTGCTATAACAGAAATACCACAAGTAGATGGCTTTTAACAAAGAGAAATTTATTCTCTCACAGTCTAGTAGGCTACAAGTCCAAATTCAGAGCATCAGCTCCAGGGGAATGCTTTCTCTGTTGGCTCTGGAGGAAGGTCCACATCATCAATCTTCCCTTGGTCTAAGAGCTTCTCTGCGCAGGAACCTCGCGTCCAAAGGATGCGCTCTGCTCTCGGCATTGCTTTCTTGGTGGTATGAGGTCGCTTGCTTTTCTGCTCGCTTCTCTCTTTTATATCTCAAAAGAGACTGGCTTAAGGCACTATCTAATCTTGTAGACATCATCAATATAACTGCTGCTAATCCATTTTATTACATCATAGTGATAGGATTTACAACACATAGGGAAATCACATAAAATGGTGGACAATCATACAATACTGGGAATCATGACCTTCATAAGCTGACAGATATTTTTGGTAGCGACAATTCAATCCATGACAGAAGTCCCACCTGAGACCATTTGAAGCTGAGGCTCAGCTGGTCAATCAAGATAAGGATTGATGAGGGGGCCAGGGTCTTTTGGTCCAGCCCCCATCAGGGGACCCAAGGCCATCTGCACGTGTGGATGAAATGGCCTGGGGGTGGGGATGAGACTTTCTTGGGGCTCCTGGACCCAAAACCTATCAATAAAATCTTGAAGGGGCTCAGGTTAGACTGGGGGGATATGGGGCTGCAACATTTGATGGGACTAAGGTGAAAGTCTGGATGAGAATTGGAAGATTTAAACAGATCTTGTATGAAGTAGTTGCATCTCCCTTACCTGAAAGTATTATTGGTGTGGATATTATGTCTAATTGGGTAACATTCCCTCTACCTGATACTGTAAAACTGAAGGCACGTAAGTCTTCCCTTAGGCCAGTATTGATTGGATGTGCTAAATGGGAACCATTAGAATTGCCTGAACCCACTTAAGTTGTTAATCTGAAACAGTATAGGATACCTGGTGGACAAAAGCAGATTGCTGCTTTGATTAAAGACATGCTAAAGGCTGGAGTGTTGGTGCCAACAAATTCTCTGTATAATAGCCCTATCTGGCCCATGAAAAAGGCAGATGGCTCATAGAGGCTGACAGTAGATTATTGAGGCTAAAATAGGTAGTGCAACCTGTGGCTTCAGCTGTTCCAGACATGGTATCAATGGAGCAGAAAATACAGCAGGCTTAAGGAGACTGGTACTCAGTGATTGATCTTCCAAATACTTTTTTCTTGACCCCAATCTCAGAAAAGAGCCAGCCACAGTTAGCTTTCATGTGGTAAGGATCCCAATTTACTTTCATTGTATTACCAAAAGGCTACTTGAATTCACCAGCTTACTGTCATAGTTTGCTTAGAAGAGACTTGGACTTGGTGCAGATCTCAAGTGTAATGATACATTACATTGACGATATTAATATCAAACCCTGAAGAACAGGCGAGCGCTAATTTGAAAACAGTGGTGGCTTTCTCTCTCTGTTGGCTCTCAAGGAAGGTCCTTGTGTCTTTTGAGCTTCTGTTTCTTGGCAATTTTCATGTGGCTTGGCATCTATATTCCCCCATCTCTGCTTGCTTAATCTGCTCCTTTTATATCTCAAAACAGATCTACTCAAGAGACACCTTACACTAATACGGCCACATTAACATAAGAAAACCCATTCCAAAATGGGATTATAACCACAGATATAGGGGTTAGAATTTATAACACATAATAAGGAGGAATAAATTTAGGCTATAATCTTTACAGGAGCAGATTGCCTGGGCTTTCTCCCACAGAGCCTCTGGGTAGGTTTGAACTGCCAATCTTTCGGTTAACAACCAAGCTCTTAATCAGGGCTCCTTGGCACCCTGTTAGCTGAGGATTAATGATAGTGTGCTCATAGACTGGCGCATAGTGTGTGTTCAGTTCACGTCACTTGCTAGCTCTTGTTTGGTGGCAAAAAGGAAACAGAATTCATGCCAGCATGAGGGGCCATTTATTGTTCAGGGGCTGAGCCCCCATGTTTTGGGGGAACTCCCCCACTACTTCCTCCTATTGTCCCTGTGGACCCCTCAAGTGGCAGGTTGCTGAGTTGATCATGGAGGGAGCACATCTTCAAGTGTAGATAATCCAGAGCGGCTACCTTCTCCCTTTAATGACAGAGAGTTGGGAGTTGGTGCTGGTGAGGCTTTGTGCTGGGGTGTTGGAGTGGATGGAAGGAGAGGGTGACCCAGGCCCTTTCCCAAAGACCTCACCCTCCTCCCACGCCCTCAGCCTCCTTCCTCACTCCGGCTTCATCTTGTCCGTCAGCAGCAGGTTCTTGGCCCGTAGTGCTTCGTCTTGGGCCAACCGAAGGGTGGAGCTCAGGGCCTCTGCCCTGACGTGTTTGGCCAAGGCCTGGCGCTCCAGCTCCTGGGGAGAGGAGTGTAGGCGCGGCTGGACTTGCCGGACTGGGCTGGGGGTGGAGGGGGAGCTGGATCGCGGAGGGCAGGGGGCAGGGTCCCATGGGGCCTGCGTTTCTCCCCCGACTGTCTGTCCCATCATGCCTCAAGCCTGAGACTCACCTCGGGAACCCACAATGTACTGGACTTCTATGTCTCATCATGTTTGAAGCCTGAGACTGATCACTGCATCCCACAATGCACTGACTTTCTATGTCCATCATACACTAAATCTGTGTTTGCCATATTGTCCCCTAATGCACAATGTACTCAGGCCCATGAATCATCATACATTTCATACATGTCTGTGCCCCACTATCCTATCACATGATGACTTTCCATGATTCACCAGACTGCACATCTCCTTATGTATTAGACCAGCATCTCTGTCATAATGTCTTTCATGCTCTGGTTCTGTGTGTCTCACAATGCACTTGGTCCCGTGTCCTATCATGCAGTTGTCCTGCAGCTCTGTCATATAAAGTCCCATATTGCATCATTTGTCTATATCTCACCCACTACAACTTATATTCCATCATACATAAGGCCAATATCCCATAATGCATTAGTCTCTATGTTCCACCGTGCATAATGCCTCAAGACCCATCAGAAATTGAGTTTGAGCCTGTGGTGCAATGTCCCATAAATGTCCCGTAACTGGGGTTCCATTTCCCATAGTACATTAGGTTACTATGACCTATAGTCACTGAGTCCCATGTCTGACCCCCAATATCTCATATAATGCATTGCCTCTCTTAAGTTCTACAGGGAATCATGCCCATGTTCCACGATGTTTTAAACTACTGTCCATCTCCTGTGACCCACAATGCACCAGATTCAATTTTCCCATCATGCTTTGGACTTGAGTCCATCACGCAAGATTCTATAATAATTGGTCCATGACTGTGTAACTACCCAACTGCTTGTCCCACAATGCATTAGAGCCAAGTCTTCCCCCATTGATTGCTACCCACAGTTCAGCCCTTCCCCTCCTGCCACCCACCAGCAGTACCCTTGTGCCCTGGGCTCCCCTTCCCCTGCTGCCCTGCAGAAAAGCAAAATGGGATACAGTGGCCCATGGTCCCTGGTACCAGAATCTTCTTGTGTAGCCTCTGGCAACTGGGGCAGGCGGGAGCCAGGCCCCTCTGCTTCACCTCGTCCACTAGTGGGGTCAGTGCTCGCTCCAACAGCTGCTGTAGGGACTCTGTGGACAACTGCTGCCCCTGGCTGGGGAAGGGGTGGTCACCAGATGAAAGAGGCCCAGAACCAACTCATTTCCCAGGATGCCCCATACTTAACCTGCCCAGCCTCCACCCAGGCCTGATTTACACCATGTACTCCACATGCAATCTTCCCACAATGCACCAGGGCAATCCCACAATGCATCAGGTTCCCTTTGGGTCCCATAGCATGGGGAATTCCCACATTGCCTTGGGTATCCCCACTGCCAAAGGGTATATGACAGCCCTTGGTTTCCAAAGGCAATCAAAAATTTACATTTCCTAGTTAAACCTGATCCCAAGTTGTACTGGGAATTCCCCCCTTCCTACAATGGACCAAGCATTAAAACCCTTGGCTCCCACAATACACCAAAGTCTCACTTTCCCCACGATGCACTGAGAAACCCTGACTTCCACCGTGTACTACACCCAACCTTCCCATAATGCACTGGAAATATATGATGCTCAAAATGCATTGAGTCTTTCTAGAGTTCCACAAGATACTTTACCTTGTGGAGAGGGAGGAATGTGCTTCCATAATGCAGCAGAACTATGCATCAGGATTCTCTGTAACCCACAGTGAACTCGCTCTCCATCCATGACCCAGAATGCACCCAAAGCCAGGTCCAGCCTCCTTACCTGGCACAGCGTGCACAGGAGCCTTGGGGGGACCGATCCAGGTTCATGGAGGGGTCAGACCCTCTTCGAGAGCTCTGAAATTGCCGCCCCAACTCCTCCAGAATCGGTTTCACTGGGCCCAGCCCCTCCAGTTCGCTCCTCAGGGAAGCCACAGACACTGCAGACCGCTCCACCCTGATGCATGAGAGTAATGAGTCCTACCAAGGCCCCACCCACTACTAGCCCAACACCTAAGTCTCCAACTGGTCTGCACTGTTCCTCTCAGCAATGTTCTCTGGTCCCTCCTTCTGTATTTTAAGGTCTAGAATGCCGCTCTCTGTTCTCTAATTGGCATTCCCTGTTCCTGCTTGGCCCCGCCCTTTGCCCTTTTAAGGTATCGAACACACCCCTTCCCCAACTTGCCCCGCCCCTTTATCCTGATTATGTATGGACGCCCCTTCCTGCTCTCTCATCAGCCCTTTCCTTCTTCGGTACTACTCGGCCCAAGCTGAATGGCTCTCCCTTTCCCCTCCAGGACCCAGCACTCCAGTTGAGTCTGCCTTGCTCCTTCCAGGTCCTCCCACATCCCCACCCCTCGACTCCTTCCTTACAAGGTGCACAGCTCGTCTGCCTTGCCCCGCAGCTCCTGCAGACCCCGCGCTGTCTGTGCCTGCTCACGCTGCGCCCGCTCCCACTGGCCTAAGAAACCGTCCAGTCTCCCGCCCAGGCCGCCAAGCAGCCGCAGGGCCTCCTGCACGGCCCCCTCCTCCTGATGCCACCGGGCAGTCAGCGAGGACACATCCCTCCTGGATGGGGAGAGAGAGGGAACCGGTCAAGGTTAGGTTTGGACACGCTCCCACTGGCCCCGCCCCGCCCCTCCCCGCTTAGACCTCGCCCCTCCCCGCTTAGACCTCGCCCATAGCTCCAGACCTACCTAGTCCCAAAAATTTCTTAAAATCCGCCCAGGTCCTCCAGAGCCTGGCCTCTATCCTCTTTTGTCAGCTAACCTGATCCTTCCCTGATTCCTCCCCAAGCCGCATCCCAGTTCCTCCAGGTACCGTCTCCCCAAGGTACCGCTCACCTCAACCCTGTTTCACTCAACTCGACGCATCCAGGACCTGCCCTCTCCCAAGCCCCGCCCACCTCAGTTTCACCAGGCCCTGCTGCCGCAGTGGTTAGGAGCTCGGCTGCTAATCAAAAGGTCGGCAGTTCTTATCCACCAGCCGCTGCTTGGAAACCCTATGGGGCAGTTCTACTCTGTCTTTAAAGGGTCGCTGTAAGTTGGAATTGACTCCACGGCAACGGGTTTGGTTTTTTTGGTTTTAGACTCATATATCCGTTTTTCAAAGTCCTGCCCTTCCAGGGTTCCCTCGAGGGAACTCTCCCTCCACAGTATTTCGAGGCTCCACCCTCTGGGTCCCGCCCCCACTAAGCCCCTCAAGGCGCCACCTCCTGATCTCCTAGAGGTTCCATCCAGTCCCGCCCACTTGGTTCCACCCCTGAGCCTCGTCCCCTCAGCTCATCGAGGCTCCACCCCTGGGTCCCGCCCCTCTCCTTCTATAGGCTCTGCCCCTTAGGTCCTGCCCACCTCAGTTCCTCTAGGCTTTGTCCCCTGGGTCCTGTCCCCCCTGTTCTTCGAGGCTCCACTCCTTGGGTCCCCACCCCCAACGCCTTGAAGCTCCACTCCTAGGTCCCGCCCCCTGAGCTGCTAGAAACTCCAACTCCTGCACCACCCAACCCCACCTCAGCTTCTCGAAGCTCCACCCCTGAGTCCTGCCTACTCAGCTCCGTTCCTTGGTCTGGCGCAATAGACTCCACCCCTGGGTCCTGTGGCTGCCCCTCGTCTTCTCTAAGTTACATTCCTTGGGCCCCACGCACTCAGTTCCTCGAGGCTCCACCTCTTGGGCCCCGCCCACCCCGACTCCTCGAAGCTCCACCCCTGGGTTCGTTTATTCCGCGCCACAGATATTAGAGGCTCCACCCTTTGAGCCTCGCCCCGTTTCCTTGAGGCTTCGCGCACCTTAATTCCTCGAGGCCCGCGGAGACTCTCTGCAACTCCTGTTCGCTCGCGAGGGTGCCTTCCCCTGCTCTGGGCCCCATTCCCCAGCCGCCGGGGGCCATGCTACGGGGCCGCGTGGGTTCGTTGGGACTCCCTGGCGGGCCCGAGCACCCCTGGGACGCGGCGGCGGGGCTCAGACCGTGCCGGGAGAGGCCAGCCTCCAACTTCTGCTCCAACTCCTGTAGCTCGGCCTCCTGCCTCCGCGGCGTCTCATCCTGCAGTTGCTGCTGGAGATACCGCAGCTTCTCCTGGGCAGGGAGAGAGGGCGGGATCATGGCGTCCAGCCGCCTGCCTCCCGCAGCCACCTCCGCTCCCAAATCTGTCCAATGAATCCTCGAGATTGGAAAGTTAATTGGTTTTGGACAGGATTTTGGGAAGTCCCCCTTTAAGTCTAAATGGACTTCTTGCTGCCGTTAGGGAGGGGACGTCCCATATGAAGTCTAGCTGGAGTCCAACTGGCTTTAACCCTAGAATGCCTGCCTCCATGTCTCCATCCAGCCCTCCGTGCCAACTCCAATCCTCCAAGGTGACAAATTCCAGTCCCTCCTGCTTAGGAAGAATAACTGAGGCTGTCGTCGGACAATGAGTGGACACGTGGGCAGGCCATTTGAAGTCCAACCCCATTCCCGCTCTCAGGAACCTGAATGGAAGGGTTTCCCATCTGTGTGTTTGTTGGTGGGTTCAAGCTCCACTTGAAACCTAACTTGAATCCTTCATAATGGATTCTGAACATGACTGTAAACACACAGGAGTGGTGTGATGGTGGTGGCAGGGCGGAAAGTCCCACCTGAAGTCTACCTCAAGTCTCTCATATCTCCGACTCCCTCCCCCAAGTCCTGCGACCTCCTTACCTCCAGCAGGGCAGAGTTCTGCTTCAGGACATTGGTTTTGATTTCAGCGTCTTCCACTGACCGGGTCACCTTCCGGCAGTTCTCCTGAGTCAGAACACCAGGGCGGGGGCCCTGCCTTCCCATTCCAGTTTGCCTCCCTTCCCCTAGTATAGCTATTTCCATATAGGCTCCACCCCCCAAACACAAGACATACCCAGTTCTTCCCCAAGTTTTGTCTTCTCCTTACTGGCCTGGTTCCCTTGGCTAAAGAGATGGTTTCTCCTTAGCCACCACTCTCCACTGCTAGACTTCCACTTGTTCCCACCCAATCTATGCTTCTCTACTCCCCACCCCCACGCTCTTCCTACTACCACTCCGTTCCCCCACCCCACTCCTGCCCCCCAGCGGCCCACCTTGAGTTGACTACAGTAGCCCTCCAGTTCTTCCGCCTCTTGCCGCCTTCTCTCTAGATTCTCACTCAGCACCGAACACTCACTCTGGAACGTGGAGGGGAGGAGGAGTTAGCCAGGGCCACAGGGGGGCGCTCCATGGGGAGCAAGAGCTGGGCCTAGGAAGGTCTCATTCCCTTCTGAGCCTCAATCTCCCCCAACTGGGGTATGGGTGCATTGGGTTGGAGGTGGGTTCTAAGAGAAAGGTGTTGGGGTGGGGAGGGTCCTCACACCTGCAACGATTGCACATGCTGGTTAACCCGGGTGGTCTTTTCCTTCAAGCTGGTGATAGAGTCTTTGGCGCGGACCAATCCATTATTGACCCCGCTCTAGGGAAGAAAGGGAGAAGGGTGGGTCAATAGGTGTGAGGTGGCAAGCCCCAACCCTGAGAAAATTCCAGAACTGGGAGGCTGGGTTTACACCTTGATCTTGCCCTGAAATGGCTGCATGACTTTTGGCAAGGGTTGTGCCTCTTTGGTTCTTGGTGTTCCTGCTCCGTAAAACCAGGGGGTGGACTCAATTTCTGTGTGGTGGGCCCTGAGATAAGTGAGAATTTAGGAGGGAGGAAATGAGCCCTGGTGGCACAATGGTTAAGCACTCAGCTGCTGACTGAAAGGTTGGTGGTTCAAACTCACCCAGCGGCTCCAAAGGAGAAAGACTTGGCTATCTGCTTGTGTAAAGATTATAGCCTAGAAAACCCTATGGGACAGTTCTACTCTGTAACGCATGGAGTCTCTTTGAGTTGAAATCCACTGATGGCACCTAACAACAGGAGGAGGAGCACTCAGACAATTAGGGGATGAAGGATGGTCACAACTAAAAACTGAGATGAATACCCTTGGGATCCACAGACATATATAATGTCAACTCTTAAAACACATGTTCTTTCTCTCCAGACACTGAAGAATTATAAAGAGAACCCACCTTCCAAATATGAGCACTCACTATGAGCCAGGCCAACTACTTACACATGACTTCTCTTTTATTCTTCACACACCACACCACTTGAGGTGAGAACTGTTATTTGCCCATTTTGCAGGTGAGGCAAATGAGGCTTAGCGAGGGGAAGACTCGTGTACTCCCAGATATGCAGCACATTAGGTAGCCTTGCCAGAATTTTTTTGAATTTTTATTTTTGGTGGTAGGAGACAGAATGCCATTTTATTAAAACACAGGAGAGGATATAGCTTTCTGATAACTAATTACAGTATCTCCTCTACTCATCCAAACATCCCTTTCTTAGATCTTGGACCCCAAAGTAAAGATAGTAAATATTGGTAAACATGTTCTGAAAAACAGAAACAAGTATAAATTGTGGCAATCCTGATGAGCCATTCTTACCTTACCCAAAATCTTTGCTCTTAACCATGGCGCCATGTGGCCTCTGATCATCACTACCTTATATCACTATGAAATGCATTGTGGCTCCTGCCAACCTGGGCTCAGGAGGAATGCACGTGACAGAGATGGCTACTTGTCCCCCAGGATCCTCTTCCACAGTTATAGACGGCACGTGACTGCTCAACCAAAGACTACATTTCCCAGGCTCCCTTGCAGCTAGGTGTACCATGTGACCAAGTTTTGGCCAATGGAACATGAGCGGAAATGATGTAGGCAATATCAGAGTCATGCCTTTAAAGGAAGGGAGCGGGAACTTCCCCCTTTCTGCTTCTGCAATGGCTGGAACTAGGAGTTGATGACTAAAGCCAGAACAGCCATCATAGGCCATGAGATGGAGAATGCAACAAGTTAGGAGGCTGAATTCTCAACACCATGGGGTGACCATATTCAATTTCAACCACCTATGAAGGAAGACTTTTATGAAAGAGAGATAACATTTTCTATCTTATTTAAGCCGTGTTATTTTGTGTCAGCAGCCAAATTTGTGACTTAATATAATTTGCATTCCCATTTGACAGTTGAAGAAAAGGAGGTCCAAAGAGCCCCCTTGGACTGGCTATGGCCATGTGACTCAATTCCAGCCAACGGGTGCTAGTGGGCGAGATGTGAGCATTGGGTTGTATGGTAAAGGGAGAGGCATGATTCCCTTACTTTTCCCCCTTCTTGATGGCTGGAGGTTGGTGGTGAGAGCATCAGCCTAGAAATAGCTGAACAACCAGAACAAAGGGACCAGTACCTGTTGCATTTGGAAAGCAGAGCTGCTGTACTGAGACTTTTATGCAAAAAGGAAACTATCCTGATTAAACCACTTTGTTTTGGGTTCCTTGCATAGTTCCTGAACTAATACACAAGAAAAAGAGAAAAATGTTTCTGCCCATTGTAAGATAAGGACAATAACACATTTCTTGCATGATTGCTTTGAAGAACAAATATGATAAGAAATATTGTATTAGGATGATGTCAGAGAAAATGAAGGAGGAAAGGACCTTTGAAATTTCTCCCTTCCATAAAAGCAATGAAAAAACTGGCAAAAAAAAAAAAAATGGTCAGAATCGATTTTTTCATGACTCTGAAAACTCTGGAAATTAACCAAAGGCTTGCAGTAACCCAGGGAGCATTTATTCCAGAAAAAACAAACAGCTGAATCGCAGTAAGAACAATGAGATTTGTGGCATTTTAACTTACCCTAGTACCATCTCTTGCTTCCCAGCCCAGAAGTAGCCTTACAAAATAACAGCCTGCATTCCTGGTACTACAGGAAGCAGAATGAAGTTGGAGCTCTTTCAAAGGCTTATTCCAAAAGAACAGTTATTCTTTGACCTGCCTAGTGGTTCCCTGGAAGACCCCACTCAAAAGGCTTGTCTTTATTTCATCTGACTCAGAACTCATGGGGATGAGGGAGAATTGTCAAAAACATTTACTGTCATAGGTTTTAACATTGCTACTGCCTGAGGCGATGGATAACAGTCGGTGCAAAGAAAGACCAAAAAGCTTAAATAGAAAAGCTGAATAAGATGTTCACTGGGGCTTTGAAAAGTTCCAACATGTTCATGGGAATCTAAAAGGTCACATGCATGCATAAGGCTGAGCATTGCACAGGAAAGACCTGGGACAGCCCTAAGCTCTGAACTCTGGCTGACCGTGAGGTTCTGGACAAGCAGGAAGTGAAGGCTAAGACAGAGTTATAAGTTGCCTGACTGAGTGTTGAAGGCGTGCCCCAACATAAACACAAAACCCCTCCGCAAAGTCTGGGAGATTTTTTGGGTCCACAAATTTAAGGAAATATCTGCCCCAAAATTAGCTGACCACTAAGCTAATGGAACAGAGATTTCAGTGACAACACATGAGAAAGAATACAGATTTTTACAAAGTTAGCTCAGAAAAGTCACCAAACAAACACTACAAAAACAAACAACAATAATAACAAACCCTGAGAGAGAAGGAGAGAATCTGATTTCCAGAGTTGCCACAGTATAATATTTAAAATGTCCATTTTTCAACACAAAATTGAGGTATGCAAAGAAAAAGAAATATAGGCCATACACTGGGAAAAAAGCCATCCATAGAAACTTCCCCTGAGGAAGACCAGACTTGGACTTACTAGATGAATACTTTAAATCTTCTCTTTTAAATATATTCAAAGATCTAAAGAAAACAAAGCCAAAGAACTAAAGAAAAGTATGAGAGTAGTCTCACCAAACAGGGAATATAAATTGAGGGAAATTATGAAAAGTAATCAAATAGAACTTCTGGAGTTAAAAAGTACAATAAGTGAAATGACAAATTCACTAGAGATGCTCAATAGCAGATCTAAACAGGCTGAAGGAGAGTGAACTTGAAATAGGTAAATTGAGATTATCCAGTCTGAGAAACAAAAAGAAAAAAATGAAGAAAAATGAACAGTGCCTGAAAGACCTGTGGGACAACATCAAGCATACCAACATACACATAATGGAACTCCCAGAGGAGAAGAGAGAAAGAAAGCAGAAAGAATACTTGAAGGAATAATGGCTGAAAACCTTCCAAATTTGGTGAAAAACAAACAATGCATCCAAGAAGTACAACAAACTCCAAGTAGGATAAACTCAAAGAGATCCACACCTAGATTCACTGGAATCGAACTGTTGAAAGATAAAGAGAAATCACGAAAGCAGCAAGAGAGAAGTGACTTGTCTCATACAAGGGATCCTTGATAAGATTAATGGTAATCTCCAGAGCAATCATTAAGAAAATAACTCAAATAGATATAGTGAAAGAAATAACAAGTGAATTAAATCGGTAGAGTAGAAAATATTTAACACAAAAGCCAGTAATGGAGGAATTGAACAACAACAAAATACATACATAATAACAAATAGCAAAATGGTAGAAGTAAGTCCTACCTTATCGGTAATTATATTAAATGTAGATGGATTAAAGTCTCCAATTAATAAGCAGAGATTGGCAGAATGAATTTTGAAAACATGATCCAAACATATTTGACTACAAGAGACTCACTTTAGATTGTTGTTGTAGGCAGTGGTTTCTTAGATGTGAACTAAAAGCATAATGCATCCAAGGAAAAAAAAATAGATAAATTGGACTTCAACAAAATTTAAAAACTTTTTTGCACAAAGGACACTATCAAGAATGAAAATACACTAAAGAATGGGAGAAAATATTTGCAAATCACGTATCTGACAAGAATCTAGTATCCAGTAGATGTAAAGAACTCCTACAACTCAACGATAAAAAAGACAATCCAAAAGGCAAAGGAGCTCTCTTGACCACAGATATCTTAGAACCATGAGAACCAAGTATAAAAGGAAGCAAATGTGCAAGCTGAAGCACAAAAGAAGAAAGATGAGGCAGAGATCCAAGTAAACCCCTAGTGTGTGCACCCAGGAGGCCACAGCAGCAGGAACATGGAATGCTGGAGGCTGGGGACGCTGGTACAGTTGTTGACTGCACACTACTGTCTAGAACTTCTCTCCAATGGATCTAGAACTTCCATGCCATCCTTCCTCCGGGTCTCTGTCCCCTCCTCTTTCTGAGTCTCTGTCTTTCCCTCTCTCTCTGTATCTCTGTCCCCTTCTCTGGGTTTCTGCCCTCTCTCTGCCTGACTGCAGGTCTCCCTGGACGTAGTGTTGGTGCCGAGGCTGGCGGCTGCCCCTGATGTCCACCTCCTCCTTGCTCTTGCCCATGCCCCAAGGGCTTGGCTCTCATTTTTTTCCATGTCACAGAGAAGGAACCTGAAGCCGCATGGCAGCTGTTCCTCCCCCACAGCCCTAGAAGCAAGCTCGCGGCTGAATCAGGCCTTGCTTCTGGCTGCCCAGGGCTCTTTCTCGGCTTCAAGATCCTCTGGGGACGTGATTAGAAATAGCTCTGGTTACAGGCTGATTCTAGCATTTGGTGCAGGAGAAACACGCGCGAGGGAGCAGGGGAGGGGCTTGTTCTGGGGGAGAAAGAGATACCCCAGGCGGTCCCTCCCACCCCCTCATCTCTCTGCCTGGGTCCCTTCTCTCGACCTGGCTCAGGCCCTGTCTTCCGACCCTGGGCCGTCTCCCAGCCTCCTCCCTGGCCTCTTGCCTTCAGTCTCTCTCCTTCAGATGTCCCCACAGGGCCCTAGCCTTTTTAAGGGAAAGAAAAAACTTTTGCTTTAGCATCAAATCCCCTTACCTTCTTGTCCTGGCCCTTCACGTCTCTATATCTCTGTTGTTAGTTTTTGTTCTTCGTCTTTACCAGACAAACAAACCAACTTGTTGCCGTCTAGTCAATTCAGACTCATAGCGACCCTGTAGGACAGAGTAGAACTGCCCCATAGGATTTCCAAGGAGCGGCTGGTGGATCATCTTTAAGCTGGGTAATTATGCCACTTCCCTCATAGAAGTTGTAAGAAAAGGAGACCCTCACCATGAGGGACTTAGCACTGTGCCCGGCACATGGTAGGTACTCAGTAAATGCGAAGGGAGATGTTAGGGGTTGACTTGTGTACCCCGCAAAAGGTATATTGAACTCCAAACCCCTAGTACCTGTGAATGTGACCTTGTTTGGAAATAAACCCATTGCTGTCGAGTGGATTCTGACTCATACAGACCCTATAGGACAGAGTAGAACTGCCCCATAGGGTTTTCCAAGGCTATGATCTCTACGGGTTTGCTTTGGTTTGAATCTTTACAGAAGCAGACTTCCACATCTGTCTCCAGCGGAGTGGCTAGTAAGTTTGAACTGCCAACCTTTCGGTTAGGAGCCAAACACTTAAGCACTGCGCCAGCACTCTGGACTTTTAATCCAGCGATTCGAGTTCATATCTCGGTGGGACCTGCTGATCTTTAAGGAGCCCTGGTGGCGAAGTTGTTAAGTGCTCAGCTACTAACTGAAACGTCAGCAGTTTGAACTCACCAGCCACTCCCTGAGAGAAAGATGTGGCGGAAAGATGTGGCGGAAAGATGTGACAGTCTACTTCCGTAAACATTTACATCCCTGGAAACCATATGGGGCAGTTCTGTCCTGCCCTGTAGGGTCACTATGAGTTGGAATTGTCTTCCCCAGCCGGGGTTGGTTTTTTGTGTTTTTTGTTTTTGGAGCTAGGATCCTTGCAGATGTTATCAGTAGGGTGGTCCCCAATCTGAGTGGTGTCCTTAGAAAAGAGGAGAAGAGATACAGAGAGACAGAGGGAAGATGACCATGTAGAGATGCATCTATAAGCCAAGGAACATCTGGGGCTTCCGGAAGCTGAGAGAGATAAAGAAATATCTTCTAGAGCCTTCAGAGAGAGTATGGTCCTGCCGATGTCCTAATTTGGGCCTCTAGCCTCCAGAACTGTGACACACTAAATTTCTGTTCTTATAAGCCACCCATTTGTGGTATTTTGTTATGGCAGTCCTAGGAAACTAATACAGGAGCCAAAATCCCAAGTTACTCTTCTCCTTCTCCTGCTCATGAACCCACACTGGCTCCCCCTCGCCCTCAGGAGAATGCCCCCGTTTTCAGCCTGTGTGACCTGTGTCCATCCCCCCAGCCTCATCTCCTTCCTTTCATTTCAGCCCCTGTCCATTTGCACGTGCTTTTCCAGATAGCTGGAACACCCTTCTCTGTCTTCTGCCTGGAGAACATCTTATCTTCAAAATCTAGTGTGTGTGTTGCCTTTTCGAGAAAGTTCTTGACCATAGCCACCTCGGTCAAGACCTCTCTCTTCAAAGCTCCCGTAGGGACCTCTGCTGCCTCCATTAGTTCAGAGTGTCTCCCACCCCCTGCCTGACTCCTAAGTCTGTGTGGCCTTAGGTGGCACAGCGGTTAAGAGCCTGACTACTAACTAAAAGGTGAGCAGTTCAAATCCAGCAGCTGCTCCTTGGAAACCCTATGGGGCAGTTCTACTCTGTCCTATAGGGTCACTATGAGTCAGAATCAACTCAGTAGCAACAAGTTTTTTTTTTTTTTCTCTCTCTCTCTCTCCCATTATCTTCATCTGTAAAATGGGGATCAATAATAACAACAATAATAGCCAACACTTAGTCAGTGCTTAACAGAGGCTGGCTGCTGTGCTACGTGTTTGACATGAATTACCCACACTTCATTCTCATGACAACCTCACTCATGAGGTGGGTACTGCTATATACAGAATTCTCTTTTGTTCACTGCTCTATTTCTGCTCCTAGGCCCGTGCCTGGCATTTCGTAGGAGTTTAGGAAATATTTGTTGGAAGAACAAATGTATGAATCTCCATTTTACAGACAAGGAAACTGATAGGCTCCTGGAAACTTAGAAAGTGCTCAGTAAATGCTAGTGAACCTTGTTATCATCATGATGATCATAGTTATTGTTAGTGATTCTCAAAGTCCACATCTGACTCTGAGTTCAATTCAGGGTCTGGCCCAGAAGACACCTTGGTGGCGGGGGAAGGGGAGAAAAGAGAAGCTCGGGGACCAAGCTGAAGAGCTCCACACTCTACTCAGGAATTCCGTGAATTCCCCTAGTTCTTGCTGACCTCCCAGTTTTACCCAGAGAACTCCTACTCATCCTTCAAGGCCCAATTTTATCACTGCCTCCTCCAAGAAGCCTTCCCTGACACCCCCAGCCTGGATGGAGGGCCCCTTCCATGGGATCCCCAGTGTCACCTTCATTATGGCATATATCATGTCTGTTGCCCCCTCCACCAGACTGGGAGCTCCCCAAGGGGTCCCGTCTGTGACCTCAGCCTTGCCCGGGACATGTGGAAATAACTGAATGAACTAAAAACAAACTCCCGGGGCAGGCATTATTTACCCAGGACGTCTGGTTGTCAACGGAGGGAGGGGAAGGTCATTCCTTTGGGCCTCGTAGGGTGACCAGAACCTTCTCATTCCAAATCAAGAAGACCCTTCCCATCCTCAATATTTGCCTACCACCAGAGTGACGACCCTCGTCTCTCCCAGCTGGGGGCCCCTCACCAGTATTTCCGTAATGTCTGGGTCATCTGCAGCCCAGGGTAGGGTAGGGGAGGTGGGGGGGCCAGGTAGTGTGGGAGGGCCACTGCTGTCTTCCGTGGTGGAGTCTGTGCCTGACGAGTCCGTGGTCTCCATGGCAGCCAGGTTGAGAAGTGACACATTGGTGCAGGCCGAGGACCGCTTGAGGTTCAGGCACCAGTGCATGGGCTCATGGGACATCCGAGGCTCCACCCTGGGAAGGAGAAACAGGTAGAAGGTCAGGATTCAGCCCTAGGACATGGCCCCTCCTGGCGCCCTGTCTCCACATCACCTGCTTCCTCTGCCTCCAGCCTCACTACCTATTTTCATTTTCTTCCCCGCCACCTATTCCTTCTCCATCCCTGCTGCCTACTTTCTTTTTTCTGCATCCTCGTTGCCTACTTTCTTATTTCCTCCCTTCCCCGCTGCCTACTTTCTTCTTCTTTCTCCTTTATGACTACCTACTTACTTTTTTCTCTATCCCCACTGCCTGATGTCTTCTTCCTTGCCCTTCCTCACCACCTACTTTCTTCTCCCTTCTCCAGTCCCCCTCTCCTTCTCCTGACTTTTCCCTCCCTCTGTCCCCACTCCCTTCCTCCTGCTCTTCATCCTTTTCTCCTTCCCCTTTTCCTCCACCACTGCCTTCTTGCCTGCCCCTCCTCTGCCCGCTCCCCTTCCTCCAGCACCCACAGTGGGACTCCTGCTCTGTTGGAGGCAGCACTGAGCCCTAGGACCGTCCCCGACAGCGTGCGACAAACCCACCCGTGGAACGACACGGCCTTCTTTTTCTTCGTGATCCCCTTGGTTGGGCTGATCACCCCACCAGGGGCCTCTGGGATCAGCTGGGAGCGGCTTTCGACCCCCGCGGGGGGGTCCCCGGCCTCGTGGATCTCTTTGGACTGCCAGATTGTCTTCACCACCACGCTTGCCATGGCGTGTGGGGAGGCCCTGCTCCTGGGGGCTCCTTCCTCTGAGACTGACCACCTACTCTGACCACAGACCCTCAGAGTCCCCTACCCCACTTCAGCCTGCCTCACAAAGGACCCAACCACTGGACCCCACTAAGCGGGGGACAGGGATAGGGAGTGACCCTGGCTCATCACATCCTTCAGGAAACCTCAGTGAGCTCTGCTGGGTCAAGGACTTCAGTTCTACCCGGAATGTATCCCTCCCCTTCAGAAGTGCAATGGATTTACTCATTCTATCCCAGAACTTAGAATGGGTTGGCCCACTGGTTGGAGGAGTCCAGCTACCTTCTTCCTGAGAATAACCGTGGAGTCACCTCCCCGCAACCCCATTATGGATTGAATTGTGTCCCCCAAAGATATATGTTGTAAATCCTACTATACCAGTGGTTATAATCCCATTTGGGAATGGGTTTTCTTTGTTATGTTAATGGGACAGTATTAGTGTAGAGTGTGTCTTGAGTCAGTCTCTTTTGAGATATAAAAGGAGCAGATTAAGCAAGGAAGAAAAGAAGCGCAGTTGGGGAAGACAGATGCCATGCCACATGAAGATCATCAAGGAGCCAAGGAACGCCAGGCCTACAGATGCTGAAAGGAGACAAAGACTCTTCCCTAGAGCCGATAGAGAAAGAATGCCTTCCCCTAGAGCCAGTGCCCTGAATTTGGACTTCTAGCCTCCTAAACTGTGAGAAGATAAATTTGTTTGTTAAAACCACCCATTTGTAGTATTTTGGTTATAGCAGCAGTAGATAACTAAAATATCCCCACACTCATGCTTGATTTCTTCATGTAACATCTTCCTTATCTTCCCAGCTGTCTACTTTCTTCTTCCTTCTCCAGCCCCGCTGCCTACTTTCTTCCTTCTCCATCCCCTCTGCTTATTTTCTTCCTTCTCCATCCCCATTGCCTACTGTTTTTGATGGATTTGCCACTTTCCTGGGAGCTGGGACAAGGTGGTCAATGGGCAGCGAGTCCCAGTCTCTACATTGGAGGATTCTATGGGAGTGTGTGGTGGTGATGAGAGGGGCAGGGTGGGCAACAGACAAACAAGTAAATAAGAAAGTACCAGATACTGATACAAAACAAAACAAAATCCATTGCTGTCGAGTGGATTTCAATTCATGGCAACCTCCTGTGTTACAGAGAAGAACAGTACTCTATGGGGTTTTCTTGGCTATAATCTTTAGGGAAGCAAGTTGCCAGGCCTTTCTTCTGTGGTGGCACTGAGTGAGTTCAAATTGTCAACCTTTAGGTTATTAGTCAAGTACACTGTTTGCACCACCCAGGGACCTCAGGCGTTGAGTAATATAAAACCAGTTGTCTTCAAGTGGACTCTGATTCATGGGGACCCCATCTGTGCCAGAGTAGAACTGTGCTCCAGAGGGTTTTCAATGGCTGATTCTTTGGAAATACATTGCCAGGCTTTTCTTCCGAGATGCCTCTGGGTGGACCCAAGCTCCCAACCTTTCGGTTAGCAGCTGAGCGCATTGACTGCACCACCCAGGGACTGATCAGTGATATAAAGGGAATCAAAATCAAGTCATGGCAGGTGTGTGCATTTGTCAAAACTCATCAGCTTGTGCACTTGAGATCTGAGCCTTTTATTGTGTGTCAATTTCACCTATCAAAAAAGAATCTAAGTTCTGATACATGCTGCGCCATGGGTGAACCCTGAAAAAAAGATGCTGAGTGAAATAAGCCAGACCCAAAAGGACGACTATTATATGACTCTACTCACGTGAGGTATCTAGAATAGGTAAATGCATAGTGACAGAAAGTAGATTGCTGGTTACCAGGGGCTGGGAGGAGGGGGGAATGAGGAGTTAATGATTAATGGGTTGTGATGGTTAATGTTATGTGTCAACTTGGCTAGGCTATAATTCTCAGTGGTTTGGCAGACACTGTGTAACTACCTCCCATTTTGTGATCTGATGTGAGCAGTCTATCAGTTGAAAAAGGGGTTTCCTTGAGTGTGGCCTGCATTCATGCTATAAAAAATGAACACTGGCAAGGAAAGTATTAGCCCAAGAGACAGAAAGGGCCTCATAAATCAGAGACTTCATCAGCCTGAGACCAGAAGAACTAGATGGTGCCCGGCAACCACCAATGACTGCCATGACGAGGAACACAATAGAGAGTCCCGGATGGAGCAGGAGAAAAGTGGAGTGCAGAACTCAAATTCTAGTAAAAAGACCAGACTTAATGGTTTGACTGAGACTGGAGGGACCCCGGAAGTCATGGCCCCCGGACTCTCTGTTAGCCCAAAACTAAAACCATTCCCGAGGTCAACTCTTCAGACAAAGATTAGACTGGACTATGGGATACAAAATGATACTCGTGAAGAGTGTGCTTCTGAGCTCAAGTAGATACATGAGACTAAATGGGCAGCTCCTGTCCGGAGGTGAGATGAGAAGGCAGAGAGGGTCGGGAGGTGGTTGAATGGACACAGGAAATGAGGGGTGGAAAGGAGGATTGTGCTGTCACAGTATAGGGAGAGCAACTAGGGTCACAAAACAGTTTATGCATAAATTTTTGTATGAGAGACTAACCTGAATTGTAAACTTTCACTTAAAACACAGCGATTAAAAAAAAAAAAGACTATTGTGGCAAGAACTCACCATCTCTTGATCCTATATTTATCTTGTCATCCTCTGACCTCCGATTCTTGAGATGTGAGAAGCCTTCAGCCTGCTGCCTGACCTGCAGATTTTGGGTTTGTCAGCCCCTGCAACCGTGTGAGTCAGGAGAAGCCTCCGACCTGCTGCCTCACCCATGGATTTGGGACTTGCCAGCCTCCACAATTGTGTGAGCCATTTCACTGAAATGAATCTCTCTCTCTATGTTTATATATACGCTTTACTGGTTTTGCTCCTCTAGAGAACCCAGCCTAAGACATGGGTATGGAGTCTGATTGGGGTGATGAAAAAGGTTTGAAAACAGATAGTGGTGATGATTGTACAACATTGTGGATGTGATGAATGCCTCTGGATTGTACACTTAAAAATGGTTAAAATGGCAAATTCTATGCTTCATATATTTACCACAATACAAAAAGAATCTAAACAAATACTCAACTATAGTTAATTTTGAAGTATTTGAGGGTAGTGTACTGCTTCTGCAATTTACTTGGATAGCATTAAAAAAAAAAAAACAAGATGGCAAAAAATATCCCCTGAAGTCTTCTTTAAACCAAACAATAGCTCAGCTTAGCTAGTAAAGAATGTCTGCCTAGAGCATTGTGCTCTTTTAAAGAATTAGCTATAGAGGATCAAATCGACAACAGCAACTTGAAAGGTTAGATAGAAAACTTAGGAGTCAGTAAGTTTATGTTAATGGAAGAGTGTCTTAGTTATCTAGTGCTGCTATAACAAAAACACCACAAATGGGTAGCTTTAACAAACAGAAATTTATTTTCTCACAGTTTAGGAGGCTAGAAGTCTGAATTCAGGGTACTGGCTATAGGGTAAGGCCTTCTGTTGGCTCTGGGGGAAGGTCCTGATCTCTTCTCAGCTTCTGTTTCTTGATTCCCTGGTGTGGTGCAGTGAGTTACTTAATATGGCCCTTCTAGGCATCTGCTAACCAAAAGGTTGGCAGTTCGAATCCACCAGCTGCTCCTTGGAAACCCTATGGGGCAGTTCTACTCTGTCCTATAGGGTTGCCATGAGTCAGAATTGACAACAATGGATAGGCGTAGTCTTTGTGATTCCCACACAGTGATTGGGGGGACTATGCAAATAAGGTGTATGGAACCTGTGATGGTTAAAGTTACATGTCACTTTGGCTGGGCAATGATTTCCAGTGGTTTGGCAGTTATGTAATGATGTAATTTGGAAGTTATGTAATGATGTAATCATTCTCCATTTTGAAATCTGATGTAATCATCCTCCATTTTGTGAGGTGTTGTAAATCCTAGCCTTTGTGCCTATGGTTATTGTCCCATTTGGGATTGAGTTGTCCCTTATGTTAATGAGAAGGGACTAGGGTGGGATGTATTTTGAGTCACTGCCTTACTAGAGGGTGTGACTCAAGTCACCACCCTTACCCTTTCCATGACTGGTGGGATATACGATTGCCCGCCAACATTTTCTGGCTCTCGGGTTCATTGGGAAGCTGCTTTCCCACTGATGGTGTATGCTGCCACAAGGCAGGGGCATTTATGACTGTTTGAAACTGAAAAAACAGGAATATGCCACATATTACTGTTCCTACAGGGTATTGTATGAGGCATGTGCATTTTTGGTAGAAAAAACAGAAATTTCGAAAAATTTTTTTTGGATACATTATGTCCCAGTGGGCTCGGAGGGGACGCTAGGGGTAGAATTAGTGGGACAATGGGCATCCCTCTGGATTCTAAGGGTAGGCTTATGGAAGAGGGCAAGAAAAATATCCATACTACCTACCAAAAATTCAAGAACACTCAATGATTCAGCTTGTTTCCCTTAATGAAAACACATGGTATCAACAAAAAATTCAAAGCAGAAAATAATCGGGTCTTGAAAGGGTTACCTCAGTTGCCACCCTCACCACCCTTATTGAAGTCACGCCTTTTATCTTACAAGAGACAAAAGGACAGAGAAGTGAGTAGAAAGTGGGGACCCACTACCACCTAGAAGAAGAGCTAGGAGTGGATCATGCCTTTTGGACCCAGGATCCCTGCACTGAGAACCTCCTAGACCCAGGAGACAGAGAGCTGTAACACTGGAGATGGCGCAAGACATCGAGAAGTGGTGGCAGAGAAGTGGTAGCGGCAGAACCATGAGACCCGCAAGAAACGGCGCAGTGGAATTTCTGGCCCATGGAGAGAGAAAGCTGAGTGCCTTTGGTCAGGAGGCTTGCTGGCAAAGTAGAGTGTCTCTGGGCACTTGACGGAGCTAGGTTCACCGACCCACAGAGGGAGAGAGCTGAGAGCCTTCAAGCAGAGGCTTACTGGCAGAGTGGGGTGCCCCTGGGCACTTACTGGCGAGCTA